AAAATTGAGAGTCATCTGGTCTCAACATTTCTGGAAATAAGTTTGGTCTGTAGAAGGGGCCATCTGATTGGGACACAAGGGGGAGATAGGATTTAGATGTAGATCCTGTGTCTGGAGTCCTCTGATCTGTTGGATAAATGCTTGGTGGACCTGTGCTTTGTCTGATCATTATCACTGTTTGTGTCTACATCATGTATCACTGTCTCTTTAATTCAATCTGCCACTTGCCCTTGTGATGGGAGGACTGTGAGCTAAGGACCAGAGGACCCTTCTAAAGTGTATGCTAAACATTTTCAAAAGGGCTTGGTTGGGAGTGCTTGTGGTACTTGCTTCTCCCCAGGAGGAATCTGCACACTTTGTGAAGTTGAGTGGCCCTCTTTTGAAGTAGGAGGGTAGCCTGAGGAATCTTTGTGTATGGGAGAGAGCAGGGACCAGGTTCCCTCTGAAGAGAACAAGTTCCTCCAGACCCTCTCGCATTTCCCAGTGGTTCAGTCAGAACACAAGGGGGTGGAATGTCCATCTTTTCAAATGAAGAAGGGAGGACCTGTGGTTCTGGGTAAGGCTGTCATCCCCATCCTAGTATCCTGGTCTGGGCCATTCCTCCTTTCTGCAGGAGTCATTTCTTGGCACATCAGAGCCATATGCTTCCACTGGAGTGCACTATAGTCCTGGACCTGGATATACACACTGCTACCTCCTGCATTCGAATGCTTCCAGGCTGTATCTAGGGAGTTAAACATCTTTTTGTTTTATTTTTTGTTCTTTGGGTTTTTCTAGACAGGGTTTTTCTGTATAGCCCTGTCTGTGCTGGAACTCATTCTGTAGATCAGGGTAGACTTGAATTCACAGAGATCTACCTGCCTCTGCCTCCTGAGTACTGGATTAAAGGTGTGTGCTACCATCACCTGGAGTTTTGGGGTTTTTTTTTTAAAGATTTAGTTAGTTAGTTAGTTAGTTATTGTGTATATAGTGTTCTGTCTGCATGTCTGCCTGCAGGCCAGAAGAGGGCACCAAATCTTACTATAAATGGTTGTGAGCCATTATGTGGTTGTTGGGAATTGAACTCAGAACCTCTGGAAGAGCAGCCAGTACTCTTAACCACTGAGCCATCTCTCCAGCCCCTTTTCAAGTTTTTTGAGACAGAATATTACTAATGTAGAATTGGTTAACCTAGAGCTCACTATGTAGATCAGGCTGGCCTCAAACTCCTGCCTCTATCTCCAGAGTTCTGGGACTAAAATGTGTGTCACCTTGCTTGGAGGAGTTAAACATCTTAAAGTTGGCCCAATGGATCTTATCCTTCTTGTCTTCTCACTGCCTCTGGGTATATCCACAACACTTCTGTGCCTCTTGCCCCTATCACTTCTCCATACACACCCCACCTTCAAATTGACATTTTCTCTGGCTTTCTTATTTTCCAAATTTCAGTGACATGGTCCCTAGGGATCACTATAACAAAATAGAAAATAACAATTTTCTTCTTTGTAAGATGGGTTACCAAGACCAGTGCTGGCCATTCACCAGCCCTGCCTTGCCCTCAAAGCATGTCTCTTCCATGGTTCATGTAATTGATTCTCTGGAGCTGGGCAGTGCAGCCTGGGTTCGTGACTTAGTGGGCATGTCTCCAGCCATTGCCAGAGACTCTAAGTGGATGAGGGAAATGGGGAAAGGTTGTCAGGGCTGAGTTCAAATTATTCCATAACCTCTCTGTGCCCATTGTTGTTTTAGTGCCAAGGTCTTCATTTCTGTCTTCTTTCCCATCTACCCACTTGTCATTTATGCCCTCTGATGTGGCCTCAAGTTGTTTCATTTTATTTTTGTTTTTTGAGACAAGGTCTCTGCATGTAGGCCTGACTGTCCTGAAACTCACTATGTAGACCAGGCTGGTCTTAAAGTCTGCCTGCCTCTACCCCCACCCCCAGTGCTAGGGCTAAAGGTGTGTGCCACTACTGCCCCGCTCTCTAGTTATTTTAGATCGCTCCCTCCACACCTCACCTATTCCATGCCATTGCTCCATCTTTAATGCACTCTACCACTGAACTAGATCATGAGTTGTGAGCTATGCACATACCCCAAGTAACCCTTAAGTGCTAGCTACATATTATATTTTCTTGAGCAGGAACTTATCCCATCTGCACAACTCTCACTTTTCCCAGCAACCAAGGACCTCCCAGTTGTGACGATTCCACTGGAAACCCTCTTCTGTTCTTTCTATACTCCATGTGAAGGTTTCCTCTCCATTTGGGCTTTCTCTGTTCTGTTATTTAGACTCTAGATATTGCAGAAGTTCTTTACTCAACTTGAGCTTGAGCCCGTGTCCTGAAGTTTTATGACCTATAATCAATTTTCTTGTACAGCCCTCCCCATCCTGTGTTCCTGGACAGCTTCTACTTGATTAATGCTTCTCTGCTTTCAGGTTATTGGCATGGTGTGGAGCATGGGGAGGCACCTTCCAAGAAGAGAGCTTCTGTATGTGTGTCAGAGAGCTGGACTCCCATAGGAAACCATTCTACCAGAATGCCCACCCTTGTAAGACATGTGACCCAAACCTGAAGGACATTTTGCACTTGACTGAGCAACAGGATACTCACCCTGGTTAGAAAGCACACGTACAGGTATACATTACATTGCACATAACAGTAATAATTTTAAAGGATTGTCAGGGCTTGAGAGATGGCCCAGTGGTTAAGACTGTATACTGCTTGTGCACAGGACCTGAGTTCAGTTCCCAGCACCCACATCAGGCAGCTTACAGTCATCTGTGACTCTAGATCCAGAGGTGATGTGGGAGTCCCCTCTGTGTGTTGCTTTTCTTGGTTAATGAATAAAGAAACTGCCTTGGCCTGTTGATAGGGAAGAACATAGGTGTGTGTGTGTGTGTGTGTGTGTGTGTGGTGGGGGTAGAAGACAGAACTGAATGCTGGGAGAAGGAAAGTCAGAGAGACGCCATGGATCTGCCAGAGACAGAAACTGGGAATTTTACCCGGTAAGCCACTGCCATGTGGTGATACACAGACTAATAGAAATGGGTTAAATTAATATAAGAATTAGACAATAAGAAGCTAGAGCTAATGGGCCAAGCGGTGATTTAACTAATACAAGTCCTGTGTGGTTATTTCGGGGCTAAGCTAGCCAGTTGGCTGGGAGGAACAAGTGGGCCCTCCTCCTACACAGAGGGATCCAACACCCTCTTCTTGTATCAGCAGTAGCGTGTGTGCGCGCGCATGCGCGCGTGCACACACACACACACACACACACACACACATCTGTGCTCTGAAGCTAGGGGACTGCTGGTAAAACCCGTGCCATGGCCCCTCCATCTCTGCACTGAATTCCCAGTTACCTTTGGGAGGGAAACCCAGATTCTCAGGCTGCGGTTCTCAACTGAAGCTTGAACCCCTGCTCTCAGAATGGTTGTGGTTTCTGAAACTCTCCTAACTCACTATTACATCTGAGGATTGTTGCCTTGAAACTCTTCCACATTTCAGACTGCCAAAGCTAAGACAGGACCTGGCATTCCCCTGATCACCCACCGGGTGCTTATACTCAGGGAGAGAAAGCAATGAAGGCGAGACGTTCAGGACACATAAACCTCTGTATCTGGGCAAGAATCTAAGAGAACTTAGATTCATCTGAGCTCGGTCCATCTGTATAGAAGCCAAGTGGGCACTCAGTCGCAATTCCACACCTGCGGTACCCTTAGCCTGCCGTTGGTGGACTCTAGGTATGACCAGGATAGAAATTCTCAGCTGTCACACGGGTATAGAGAAAAGCTGTGCTCTCGGGTCTTCCCCTCATGGTTCTGAGGGTGGAATGAGACCTGGCAGCAAGAAGACTCATAAACCAGTTTGGACAGAGTCAAAAGCAACCCAGACGTCACAATTGTGATGACAGAAGTCCGCCCTGTCCAAAAGTGCCCTTGGCATAGGACTGTGGGTAATGTAGTCTCTTCCCTGTATCCTGCCACATATCTGATCCCCAAGCCACCACCTGGAAAGAAGAAAGAGAAAATAGTATCTTGGTCCACCACCCTCACCTTAAAGGAATTCACGTTGATTTCTCTGGCTACTTGGGTTAATGCCACGTCTCAGGAATCTTCAGAATATGACTTATTTTTTAACCTTCCTGCTTCTGAGGTCCGGAGACAGGTGCTCCACATCTACCAGTCTTGGGGATGAGGTTTAAGTTCTGCCACATGTAGTGGACTTTACTCATGGGGCCCTTGCATTTCAAAGTGAAATGTTCCTCTAGTTCATGGGCCCCAAATTTGGTTACCTCAGTTGACAGAATAGTGAGGGGCTGGAGAGGTTCAGAGGTTAAGCGCAATGCTTGTTCTTCCAGAGGTCCTGAGTTCAATTCTCAGCAACCATATGGTGGCTTGCAACCATCTATAATGAAATCTGGTGCCCTCTTCTGGCATGAAGACATGCATGCAGGTAGAATACTGTATATGGCATAAATAAATCTTTAAAAAAAGAATAATGACATGTTTATGTCAAATTATGTTTATGTCAGTTGGAGGGGAAGGTACTAATAAAGGTATGGAGAAAGGAGGGTGATAAAATTAACAAAGACATTATGAAATACAGAGAAATGAGAAAGAATGTGTGTATCTAAAAATAAAGGGGTGGAACCTTAGGAGATACCACTTTGCTTGGAAAACATAACATTTAGAGAGCTGGGGAGTTTTATATACAATCCTTACCTAGAAAACAGACTCTGTGGTGAACCCAGACTCCTTGGTGGATGCAGTAGGTTGACCAGATGTCTGGCTGAACTTAGCCACTCATTTCTTCCTTCTGGATGTGAGTTCACCAGATGTCCTGGCTGGACGACAACGACTGCTGCTGCTACTATTACTACTACTTCTCCTTCTTCTTCTTTTTTTAAACATATCATATACATGGGTCAACCAGTTGGTTACCACTACCGACTTCTATTCTTCCAGGTAACTTTCTGAATCAAGAATCAAGAAAGAAGAAAACACTACAAAGCCATCAGACTTTGAATACACACTTTTATTTTTTTTTCAGGAATCCTTCTTTGGCATTATAAACTTAGCATAGGAATAAAAGGTTTAAAAACAGTCATGGGTGAGGTGGAGGCAGGGGAATAAGGAGCTCGAGGTCTTTCCTGAATACACGGTATGTTTGAGGACAGCAAGTGCTATATGAGACTCCATCTCAAAACAAACAAACACAACAAAACAACAAAATACAAATTAAGACATCGGAAACTCTAAAAACAGAATTAAAGGGGAAGTGCAACAGTACAGTAGTCATGACAAAAGAAAGTCATGGCATTTCAAATCAACAGTCATTAATTAATATAGAAAAAATAAAACAAAGTAAGAGCCCAATAACAAAGTATTTATTATCCATATTAGTGAAATTCCTGGAAAAGAACAGAAAGAATGGGGATGAAAAAATAACTTTAAATCTCCCAAGTTTGTCAAAGAGCATAAGCCTTCAGAAAGAAAGAAGTATCAATATTAATCAAGATACACTCTCATAGCTAGGATCCCACTCTTCAGGACACCAAGACAAAAGGGCCGCTTTAAGTTCAGAGCTAGCCTGGGTTACAGAGTACATATCAGGACACTATCAAAACACAAAGAAAAAGAAACTCAAAAATTTTTATACCCAGCACATCACAAACTTGAACATTACAGAGAAAAGCATTTTGAATATACCTCAACTGAAAGGGCAGACTAAGAACAGTTCAGTTAGTAGCAGATTTCTACTCAGATACCACAGTGGAGAGAAGAAATGGAAGGGATGGAATAATACTGAGAAGAGTTGCCCACCAGAGATCCTATATGCCATAAACACTACATCCAAGAAAAGAAGGGAATGTGAAGACATCCTTAGATGGAAGAAAATGAGAATGTCACCAGCCTAGCATAGATAAAATTCATTAATTAGAAAGGAAATTACAGAAGGTCTGTAATTCCAAGAAGAAGAAAAACAATGGAATGGGTACAGGAAAAACAAAGGGAACTGTGACAATAAGGTATCTATACACCAAAATGCTAAACTACGTTAAGGTCATGTATTGGTTTGGCTATTTGACATAATTTAGAATCACTATGAAATATATATATATTCATATATATATAAATATATATTCATATATAGTCTCTCTCTCTCTTTATATGTATGTATGTATGTATGTATACACAAACACAAGACATCTAAAGGGTCGAGGTCCTTTACTCCTTTACTCCCTAACCCAAAGTTCTCTCCACCCACATTAGAAATTCACTAGCAAATGCCAAAGACTTAGCAGTGCAGCATGAAAATGGTGCTTCAAGTTTTCATTCCTATGTCACCTCCTCCTCACAAAAATTCCTGAGTTAACACTGCACTTCAAAGTAGGAGAAAGATACAGTTGAAGGTTTCCATGAGTGCGAAGTACAAACTGGGTGTCTCTCCTACATTGTCGGCTGGAAAACAATGCTCACTATCTAATGTTTTCATATGACAAGCAGCAATCTGCGACAAGTTTTCTCACAGTGAAGACACTTGTGGGGTTTCTCTTTGGTATGAATTAGCACGTGTTACGTAAGATGTTTCTGTCTGGAAAAGATTTTCCTCAGAGGTAACATTAAAAAAAGCCATTTCCCAATAGAAGTTCTTGGATGTTGACAAAAGTCTGCCCACCTGTGAAAGGCTTTTCCTCATCTGCTTCACTGGCAGGGTTTGTCTGACTGTGCATCCTTCGATGCTGAGTGAGGGAGGAGCTGCGGCTGAAGGCCTTCCCACAGTCCCTGCATTCATAGGGCTTCTCCCCCTGTGGATGATGGCGTGGCGAATGAGGCTTGTGCTCCAACAAAAGGTTTTCCCACACTGGACGCATTCATAGGGTTTCTCCCCACTATGAATCCTCTGGTGCCTAGTGAGTCCTGACCTACGGTTGAAGGCCTTCCCGCACTCCGTACACTCATAGGGCTTCTCCCCAGTGTGGATGCTGAAGTGGCCAATAAGATCAGCTCTATTGCTAAAGGCTTTCCCACATTCTTTGCACTCAAAGGGCTTCTCTCCAGTGTGGGCTCTTTTATGCAAGATGAAGGCAGAGCAGTGGGTGAAGGCTTTCCCACACTCGCCGCACACGTACGGCTTCTCCCCAGTGTGAATGCGCTGATGCCTCTTGAGGTACGACCTGTGGTTGAAGGCCTTGCCACACTCGAGGCACTCAAAGGGCTTCTCCCCGGTGTGGATCACGTAGTGGTGGATCAGGGCTGCGCTCTCCAGGAAGACTTTCCCACACTCACTGCACTCGTATGGCGTCTCCCCAGTGTGTGTCCGCTGGTGCCACATGAGGTAGGACCTGTGCTTAAAGACCTGTCCGCACTCAAAGCACTCGGACGGGTCCTCTCCACTGTGGATGATGTAGTGGCGAATGAAGCCTGGCCTGTCTCGAAAAGCTTTTCCACATTCTTTACAGACAAAAGGTTTCTCTCCAGTGTGGCTCCTGCTATGTAAGACAAAAGTAGAGCGGTGTGTGAAAGCCCTGCCACATTCGTCACATTTATACGGCTTCTCCCCACTGTGGATCCGCCGGTGCTGTATGAGGTGGGATTTGCGGCTGAAGGCCTTCTCGCACTCCATGCACTTATAAGGCTTCTCCCCACTATGAACCATCTGATGCTGAAGAAGGTATGTGCTCTTGCTGAAGGCCTTCCCACACTCGGTACACTCATACAGCTTCACTCCAGAGTGACTCCTCTCATGCCGAGCAAGCAGGCGCTTCTTTCTGAATACTTTGCCACAATGATGACATTTGAAGACATTTTCCTCCTCCTGGATTACAGGGTCCTTATCTGACTCATGCGAGTCACAATTATGGACGGCATTTCCTGAAGAGACATGCTTCTGTCTAACCCTTGAACACACACCTTCAGCTGTCCCTAAGCTATCACGTCCAAGGCTGATTTTCCCAGGAAGCAGCTTGCTCTGGGGCTCTATCCCTGTTTGAAAGTATTCTTGCTGCATTTTTGAGGAACCAATCTGATCAGGAGTTTGCATTGACTGGGAGTCCTTTGAGACTTCTTTTGTGAACTTGCCTTGGCATGAGACAGCCTTAGATAGTGCTGACTCACACGTGGTAAGTTCTGTGGCCTTGGTTTTTCCATTACCTGAAATAAGTAACACATACCAGAATGATAAAAAAAAAAACAGAAAAAATAAAAGTTCCATGTTAAAGAAAAACATGACTGTTAATCCTGGTTTGTAATTTGCTTCTTTGGGGATTCCTGAATTCCTGGTTCTAAACAGCAGAGCAAATTAAAGTGTAGATGATGGGAAAGAGAGCCTAGGGTAGACACTCACAACTCCTGACTTAGAGGCCAGCCTGGTCTACAAGCAAGTCCAGAATAGACAGAGCTGTTACACCGAGAGAAACCCTGTCTCGAAAAACAAACAAACAAACAGAAACAAAGAATTCCTGACTTAGTATATCCATAAAGGCAGCTCATTATTAGCTCCTAAACAGTAGCTAGCCCAGGGACTAGTGAAAACCAAGGGGGGTAAAATCGACTGCCACCAAGCCTGACAACCTGAGTCTAATACCTGGGACACAAGATAAAAGCAGAGAACTGGCTCCTGAACGCTGCCCTCTGAGCTTCACCCATGTTCTGTAGCACATACATACATACATACATACATACCTACATATATGAATGTACACACATGCACAAAATAAAAAAGGTGGTGAAAACAACAACAGTCTGGTGTCTCACTCAGGAGACAGAGATAAAAGGTCACAAGTTTGAGATCGGCCTGGGCTACATAGACAGCTTGAGGGCCAGCCCAATAGACCTATAAAAACACGACTTTAAAAACCGGAAAAGTATATTTGTAGCATTCAGAACTAATAAAAGTATTGTGAGTGTGGGCTGGGGTGTAATTAAGTAGTAAGCACTTGCCTAGCATGTCTGAGGCTTTTGAATGAAATAGAAAGTGAGAAAGAAAAGAATGTGCAAAGAACTTTAAGTTAATATTTTTTTTTAAAAGCACTTATCTGATTTATTTCACAGAAGATACAGAATCGTCAAATATCTAATACTAAGCTACTAACCCCACCTTCCCAATAAGAAAAAAAAAAGAAGGGAGCTGGAGAAATGGCTCAGAGGTTAAGAGCATTGCCTGCTCTTCCAAAGGTCCTGAGTTCAATTCCCGGCAACCACATGGCGGCTCACAACCATCTGTAATGAGGTCTGGTGCCGTCTTCTGGCACCAGACATACACACAGACAGAATATTGTATACATAATAAATAAATAAATAAATATTTAAAAAAAAGAAAAAAGAAAAAAAAAGAAAGAAAGAAATACTACGGTGTCTCCATCTGATTAGCAAAACCCGAGGAGAACCCACCATTGGAGCACCAAGTGCTAGGTAGGCTATGGACCAAAGGAGGCCATGCACGAGGGCTCTGGTAAAGAACTGTTCATTTTAGTATCACCCTACAACTCAGAGTGAGTGAAAGAGATGAGAAATGGTGGTAAACAGAGCACAGCTCAAGAGTTCAGAGAGAAACATGAGACTGAGAGGAAATCCCCCACCTTAAAACCAGGCAATAGAGGAAATAATCAAACTCAGGGCTGAAATCAAAAAATAGAAACAAAGAGAATACAAAGAATCAATGAAACAAAGAGTTGGTTCTTTAAGAAAATAAACAAGGTAGACAAACCTGTAGTGGCATTTCACTTGTATTTTAAAAATAAAGTTTTCCTGAAGATCAGAGAGTAAAACAGCCCCACTGGTCAGCCTTACTACCAGGCAGTGGTAACACACACCTTTAAACCCAGTAGCCACACTAGTTGCCATAGAAACTGGGCGGTGCATGTCTTTAATCCCAGTGGTGAACACCTTTAATCCCAGAACTAGAGAGGATTACAAAACAGGAGGAGACAGCTCTTAGGCACAATCTCATTCTGACACTCCTGGAGGCAGGATCACCATTTCAGACTGAGGTGGAGGTAAGAGCCAGTGGCTGGCTGCTTTGCTTTTTAGATCTTCAGGTTGAACCCCAAATTCTCTCTATGAGTTTTTATTAGTCATGCTTCATTTAGAACCTAATGTGGGGTACAAATTTACAAAAAAAAAAAAAAGCGCCATTTGCCTGAGGCTTTTTGGCCACTGGCTCAGACCAGAGTCAATTCCAAACCTAGACACCTGAGTTCAGGAGAAAAACTAATGCTCCCAGCTCCCATCTGCCCCAGCTTAGCTTCTATGTAAAGATGGAAAATACACAGAAAATCTGAATACTGTATATTATTTTGTTGTCTTTGAATTGACTGCTGAGAAAAGAGCAACAGCTGCTAAAAGACATTTGATTATTAATGCTGCTGGATTAATACAACCTATATATTTTGAAAATGCCTTGACTTCAAAACTTAAGTCAAAAGATGTGTTACTTTGGAGACAAGGTTTTGGTTTTGTTTCCATAGGAAGTGAGAGGCTGTGGATTCATTCTGAGTTAAGAAAAATAAGGTTTGATCAAGGAAGACCCCCTAAAAAAAATGTCCAATAGGCGCGATGGTCAAGATAATCCAACATTTTAGAGCATCTCTGTTGCAGTTTCCTCTGAGTTTTACGTTCAGAACAGTTTCAAGACTGTTGGCTGAGATGATCCAGTCTCACAGGATACTCAAGTCAGGACTTGACCATAATCCTAAATTTTCTTTGACTCCCCATAAGATTACCAATGCTCCCAATCAGCAAAAAGTAGTCTAGAAAACTATACCCACATTCTCAAAAAATGGATTACAGATGTTTGTCTTTGTTTAGAATGCTGGTTACAAGTTATTATTGGCAATGGTCAGGGAAAAAAACTGAACAAAGGAGATTAGATTCAAGGTTCATGTTTTAAAAACACAAAAAAGAAGGAAGATAGACATAAGATAAAGGGGTAGATTATCGAATCTACTCTGAAAAGAAAAAAAGGGAGGATATAGGTAGGATTTTGTTTTGAAAAGAAACAAAGGCTGGGCGGTAGTGGTGCATGTCTTTAATCCCAGCACTTGGGAGGCAGAGGCAGGAGAATCTCTGTGAGTTTGAGGTCAGCCTGGTCTACAGAGTTTCAGATTTGGCTCCATAATCTGAGAAACCCTGTCTCAAAAAAACAAAGAAAGAAAAAGAGCAAGAGAGAGAAGAAGGAAAGAAGGAAGCTGTAGGTGCACAGGTTCCCCATTTTCCTGAGGCGCTATGCAGGGCTGTTCTGCTTCCTGGTTCCACTGCATCAGCTTAAGGGTGTGGCATAGAACTGCCTTCTCCTGTTTTGTCAGTTTTGCCTACGGCCCAAAGGTGTAGCTTAGAAAGAACTCTCCCTTAACTGTTATGGTAGTTCCACCTGCAAGCAAGGTTCTCGCTGCAGACAAGGTTCCCGGGTCAGCTCGTCCCTGAACCTAAGCACGCCCACCTGGCTTCCTCTTTTCTCTGTTCAGCTGCTCTCCGACCTTGGGTGCGGCCCCCTGACTTTTCTCTTTCCTTGTTCCTGATGGGGGGCTGGTGTCTTTCTGCCCCACAGTATATATACCCGACTTATGCTTAATAAAGCTGCCATTTGCCGCTGCTCCTCGGCAGATGAGCCAAGTCTCTTTGTGTGTGTGTGTCGTCTCTGTTCAAACCCCTAGGACAATTGTCCATTCTCGTGGGCTCGAGTCAGGAAAGCGCGCGCCTGTTTCGAGGTTCGGGTGTCCACAGAAAAGTGCAAAAGACAACAGGAAGCAAGCAAACAAGAAAGAAAAAAGCAAGAAAGGAAGGAAGAAAAAAGAGAAAAAGGGGGAGATATAGATATGATAAGATAACAAGGTAGATTATTGAATCTACTCTGAAAAGAAAAATGGAGGAAATAGATAAGATAAAAAGGTAGATTATTAAAATCACTTTTAAAAGCAACTATTAGTTTTAAATGTTTTACGCTGGATTGGATTTTTTTGTACATGGTATACAAATTCTGTATATTGATACAAATTTGAAATTTTGTTAAAACATACTGTACATATATTTCTAATCTTGTTCAAGATATTATACCTGTATAGCTCATTTAACAATGTAATACAAATCTCTAGTCCTTGAAAATTATTATTACCAACTGTTTAGAATAATAAAAAATTCAGGTTAATAATTAGTCATCTAGTATAAATGAACTTATAGTTACATTAGGTGTGTTTTCAAGGTCAAACAAAGATAAATTTTAGATAGACAGGTCATCCATCATCAAGCTTTTCAGAGATCTACAGAATATGGCATTTAAGATGTTTTAATAACCTAGGTTCACGAGGCGGTGGTAGCTCATGTCTTTAATCCTAGCACTTGGGAGACAGAGGTAGGCGGATCACTGGGAGTTTGAGGCTAGCCTGAGCTACAGAGCTAGTTCCAGGACAGCCAGGGCTATACAGAGAAACCATGTCTCAAAAAACAAAAATAAAACAAAATAAATAATAATAATAAATAACCTAGGTTCTTCTTTTTCATGACAATGAGACATGTCTGCTCCTGGCAGCACCAATCTTCTTCACAGAAGATAATGGACATTGAAGAAACTCTACATGGAGCTTACTTTCTTTGTGGCAAAAGTTAGCCACTGGGCAAGAAAATGTCCTTGCCGGCACCCTCATATGCAAAAGAAACACTTCTAAAGCTTAAATCATACATAAAATCCCACACACTAATAGTAGGAGACTTCAACACTCCCTTCTTACCACTGGACAGGTCAATCAGACAAAAAATGAACAGAGAAATAAGAGAACTAACAGATGTTAGGACTCAAATGGACCTAACAGACATCTTTAGAATATTCCATTCAAACAGAAAGGAATATACCTTCTTCTCAGCACCTCATGGAACCTTCTAAAAAACTGACCACATACTCGGTAACAAAACAAACCTCAACAAATACAAAAAAATTGGAATAACCCCCGCGAGGGGTTGGTCCACCCACTGAGACAGTGTGCCTGATCTAATGGGAGCTCACCAAATCCAGCTGGACTGGCAATGACTGAGCATGGGAGCATGGGATCAAACCGGACTCTCTGAATGTGGCTGACATTTGGGGCAGACTGAGAAGCCAATGATAATGACACTGGGATTTGTCTTTACTGCATGTCCTGGCTTTTTCGGATCCTAGTCTA